CGCAATTAATTGTCACAATCTTGGAGAGGTGTGATATCATAATATTAATGATTCGAATGCTATTTATCGCTTTATTCGTTTGAAAACTTATCAATTTTATTAAACTGAATTGAAACGATATTTAAGACATTCTAAAGCATTACAGACAATTTTTAAATGTAAAAAACTGTCTGGTTTAAAATTTTGAAAGAGAAAAATTAATAAGAATCTAATTGGATTAATTCAAAAATAAGCTAAAACTAATTATACAACAAAAAAATTTTGTATTCATTAAATTTCAGATCTTTAACTATTAAATCTATTGCTTTATTCTAATGATTTTTTTTTTGATTCTAAAATAAGCTTTTATTTCCAAATTAAAAAAATCGAATACAAACTTCATTATATATTGTTCAACCTATTGAATCATCATCTCATTGGAAAAATTGTAAAGTACTTGATAACACATATCAATCCTACTAGTTGTTATAGATTTTTTTATTTGATAGTCATATCAACCTGTAAAATTTTTATAAGGGTTTACTTGATATCACGTATCGACCTGTATATTTCCACGACAATCAGTTTAACTTCAACTTTCTTAATTTAAAGTCGCAATTGCAAGAGTTGAATCATAGCAAAACTGAGGATAACAAAAAGGATGAAAAGTATCGGACAATATTTTTATTTCAACAAACTACATTAGATTGAGGAATTTGAGTTTAAGAGGTTCTTACTTTGAAATTCGCAGTAAATTCAAATTAAAGTTTTAAATTTTGAAACTATCAAATAGAATCAAGTTTCTTAGAATCGAATGAGTCAAGTAACTTGATTTTGTGCCTTTTGCATGTAGAATATTGAGCATAAAGAATGAAAATTAGCAAAAATCTTTTTGTTATTCTTTGGTCTTGTCCATTGATTAGAAAACTTTAATTAAAAATTGATCATCAATTAAGTGAATTTCAATATATTCTACTTTTCCAGTAAATTAATCGTATTTCCACAAAAATTGCGTAATGAAATAATATTAACTTGTGTGTACATTAAAGTGATATATAAATACTAAAGAGTAATTTTAAAAACGACGTTCTTTTATCAAGGAAGATTTTTACACTTATTAAAGAAAAAAAGGAATGATCTAGAATATTCAACTTCAGAAAAAATATAGGCTGTTATAAATACTCATTAGCTTAGTACATATTCAGATTAGCTGAGTCATAATTACTCGGAAAGCTAAGAAAATAATTTCTTTGAAAGATCCAGCAATTAAGGGAAACAAAAACCTACTGGATGATTAACTTTCCAAGAATTTCAATTGTTCTCGACTTAAGTAACTTAATTCAAATGAGTAAAAGTCAAAATTACCTCGTTTTTTAATTTTTTTCAGGAAATTGAACTCCTTAATCTTCAATCCGCAAATAAAGACTTCTTTGATGAATTATTTGAGAATTAGAATCAAATAAACTAATTATTCCTGAATTAAAGGATTTTCTCTGTCAATTTTAGTTTTTTTGTTTGACCATATAACTTAAAATGGTGGAATAAAATACTGGCTGAATAACGGGGTACAAAGCTAAGCTATGCAAAGTAAGAAGTTCAAAATATATTTGTCATCTATCAATTTCGTATCAAAGGCAGAAATCTATTCAAAGCATCAAAAGGAATCTATGTCGAGGCTTGCTTAGCCAAAGGCAATGCCTAGAAATAGGTAACATTTTGTGTTGTTGAGTAGGCAAAACCAAGATTAGATTCATTTATTTGCTTATTTTTGTTTAAAAAATATCGCAAAAAAGCACCAACTTGATTCTAATATAGATTTTGCTTAGGTAGAGGCATGCCTACGATATGCAATGCCTAGGCAAACTGATCATTCCACACTTTTTTTTTGTCTGTTCGTCTATCATTCTATCTCCTAATTTGATCTTTTTGTGTGGTTTTTGGATTATAATATGTGTGCTGTATATGGCTTGCGATTGACAAACTTTAAAACAGCACTTTAAAACAGAAAAGTTAAAATTAAATCTCCTTTACTTCATCTAAATACTGAGGATGATCAAAACAAGACCAGCGATGACTGGATAGTAATGAAGTTCCAATTAAACCCTTAACGAATGAGCTTTTATGTTTAATGTATATCCTTTTATTGAGTAAATAATAAAAATTGAATAAAATTTTTGAAACCAATTTTCTCTGAGACTTTAAATTTATAACTCTATATTCTTTTTTTTAGCTTTTTTGCCGTTCCATCAGATTCAGCATTGCAGAAGATTTGATTTTAAATTAGTCATGTTCTATAGAATATTTGTTGATTATTCTTGAAGATCTCATTGAATTATTTTTGAATGAAAATGGCAATCTTCAGCTGAGTGCTTTTAGCTTTATCAACCTTTTAACAACCTTCTTTAAGCTAAAAATGGATTTCATAATTTTCAACTTATGACAAATTTTTTTGCTGAACAAAGTTCTGCTATCTTAAATGGCACACATGAAATCAGCTTGAGAAAGGTAAATTTTGTCATCAACAAAAAAAATCGAAGCAACATTTGAAAAAATTTCTTTCTTTTGAATTCATCAATTTCAAAACATCGAAAAAAAAAATGAACACGTGGAAATCTTTTGAGTGATTGGAAGAAGGCACGAAATGCATCATGACTCGCTGAAGCACAAAGGAATTAAATATGAGTGAGAATTTAAACGGCATTGAGATTATTTATGAAGAAAATATTAAGCAAAAAAAGGAGATGAATCAAAAATGGAGATGGATCAAAAAATATCCGAAGATATAGACATATGGACACAATGCTTAATATGGATGTCCCTTTCAATTAAGAACTAGACGACATTCGAAAATTATGATGATAAAGGAAGTGCCTGTGCGGATAGTTTTGATATCCAAAACGTGTGAAAATCAATGAGTTATAAATAAAATCAGCATTTCCTTGATGAAGTCATGAGACAACGGACGATCATTTCAAAATAACAGAAGCTGTTGAAGTTGAACGTGATTGATTATTTACTACATCGTCACTTTACATGCTTAATCGCTGGAAACAGATGAAATTAGTGTTCAACAATTATTGTGGATATTTTAATGTACTGAATATGTTCTTGCATCAAGTACACTACCAAATTTCAGTCAACGAAGTTTATGCCGTCTTTAAAATTACGCGTGAAATTTATGGAAATGCTGCTCAACTCGACATTCTTCTCTGTCATCTTACATGAAAGACTTCGAATCACGCATGGAAGAATCAAATGTCATTCGTCCACTAATTCAATCAGTGCTTTTACAACATAGCTTTGGAAATGAACCTGCTGATGATGTTAGCCGATTACATATGTACTTGAAAATTTGTTAAAAAATATCATCAGCTAAAAGGACCTTCTCTGGACCACCACTGGAACTGAAACATGGACATAGTCAACATTCGTGAAGCATTTCTGCAAGCAAAATCCAGTATTAGCCAAGCGCCTCAACGAATACTTAACAGTGGAGCATCTAATCTAGCTCACAGTAAGTCATTGTTGCTTCAATTCTCTCTGACAATGCTTCATCACCTTCCGCAAACTTGACAATATCCCAATCGTATATTTTCTTCGTTTTATGTGAAATTTTAAACTTGGCTTAATTTGTCTCCGAATTGATTTATTGAATTTGAAATTTCAATAGATTTCTTCTTAGCTGCTTCTCACGCTTCTTTTGTAATATCCTTTTATTTTTCCTAACCATGACAATTTAACTGGTTTTGATGGACCATCCAATTTTAATTCATCTTAAGCTCATAGCGTTTCCGGAATCTAGAGGAATTGCTCTGTCTATTCATTATAATTGAGAGCAATGTAGGAGATGATACAACCTTTCGACTTTTTGCTTACATTACCGAGTGCAAGTTTATTCAGTTTCTTCCAAACACTGTCCTAAGAACAGTCAGCTTCATCTTGACTTGACGTATTTAAATTATCAATTAGTGACTTTTCATTAGGATTGAATGTTTAGATATTTGGATATTTTGTCAAATTTTTACTACCTGAATTGCATGCAATTTATGATGATTTATTTTCTTAACCATTTTCCTTATCTTTTAGCTCAACGACGATTCGTATCATGACTACATTCTCATCTTGGAATAAGACTGTGAATATTCGGAGGATGGAATAGTTTTTCATCACACTTATCGAGTAAATGTCTCAAAACAACTCCAAATCAATTAAAGAAAATTCTTATGAATGAAGGATATTTTTCGAGTAATGTGACGAAGTTATGAATTGAATCATGACTCCTTATTGTAGGACAAAGAAAAAGGATACGATTAAAGCTCTAGATGGAGATGACATTCAATGAGATTACATGCGAAGAAAAATGTGAACTTAAAAGAATAATAAGCAGTTTTGGAAAATCACCAATCAAGCATGTAACTACACAGACATTAATTGATGACAAGATACGACACAGACTATCGAATTCAAAAAGATTTTATGCAGTTTTATCGTTTCATCGATATTATCAAATATGTAAAGTCCGTAAAAGTACTGATCTGTAAAGTCGGTAAACTTAAAAGAAAATACAACAGACTCAAGAAAATGTCTCAAGATAAAAATATTCTAGTCGAAAGTTTTTATTAGTCCAACAAGACATGGAGATCTTTCAATTACAGTCAGCTTACACCGTCGACATCAAATATATCAAGCAAGTAACACGACAATCAAGAAAGTTGTCCATGAAGCTGAGGAATCAGATAAAAATAAGACAATAAGAACTCAAATTACACGAAAAGATTAAAAGGTATGTAAAATAATATTCAGCATATCTTTGATGAAACATAAGACAACAGGCAATCATTTCTACTTTAAGCATCACGAAAGAATTAAATTTGGTTCACGCACCAATCTAATCGGCACCCGTACATGACTTTGTAAATGAAACTACTGGTGATGTTAGTCAATTAAATATGTCCTCAAAATTGGATTCAAAATTAACATCAGTTAAAAGAACCTTTCTGGATCTCAATTGGAACTGAAACATGTTCATAATCAACATTTTGAAGGATCTTGAAGCATTAGGAGCAAGTAATGGAACTTACTGTAAGTCATTGTAAATTCATTAAGATTGAACATGTGGATATTTGGATGTTTTGTCAAATTTTTACTACCTGAATCGCATCCATTTTATGATGATTTATTTTCTTAACCATTTTTCTTATCTTTTAGCTCAACGAAGTTGCGTATCATGATTTCATTTGCATCTTGGAATAAGACAGTGAATATTTGGAAAGACGGAATAGTTTTTGATCACACTTATCGTGTAAATGTCTCATATTTTAACAAGATTACACACTCCTTTGTGCTGCTAACGATTGAGAGTGTGTCAGATTTAAGTACTGAGTACACTTTTTCTTGGGAACAACAGAAATTTGCTGGTGAGTTCTGATTACTATTACTTGATTTTTGAACATTCTCATTAAAGTAATCGACTTTCTGGAAGAACTAAAAAGTTCTCAATTCAGAAAATTTATTTTCCGAAACCCAAGCATAGATTGATTCTTAATTAAACATGATATAAGTCTTATGCGTTTTAATTTTTATGTCTATAAAATAAGCCAGATCTTTTATCTGCACATCTAAATGGCAAAATTAATTATTAATGAATTATCATCAAACTTTTGAAAATTAGTGCCTATATTTTAAACTTGAGTGTAACCCTTCATGATTTAAAGCCTTCTTATCTTATCAATAACACAATCATTATGCAATTTTTTTTTGAAAAATTTTGCATTAAACTTTTCACTTCTTTTTATTGGAACTAGAAATATTAGACATTTGGGACATTTACTTAGCTGCTTCTCACGCGTAATCCCACTTTTTCAGAAATAAGATCATAAAGGAGCATTGATTTTAGTCAAGAAATTACCGACAAAACAATTGCACAGAAGGATTGCTTAAAGATGAGGATGAAGACATCTTAATGTTAATCAGTTGATATGAATTTGAATATTTGTTCAAAAATAACATCAGCTAGAATGACCTTTTCTGGGCCTCCTTGTCACTGATGTCCAGCAACTGGGAAGAAGAATTTAATCAGGAAAATGACAATCAAAATAGAGTTGATTTTAGTCAAGAAGTCAACAAGCAGAGAAGAAGATTATCAATTTCAAAAATTACCAATTTTAATTTTCGCTAGTTCTAAATATCTGTGCATTAATTAAAGAATTTTCTGACTCTACAGAAGCTGTTGAAGCCATTGAACATCATTTATTATTTACAACTCATTGTCGGTAACTGCTACATCAGCTGAAATTAATCGTCATCACTTATTGTCAAATGAATGCTCAACACGATATTTTTGCAAGAATCAAATCAAGTTCATCTGCCAATTAGTTCACTATTAGTTCAATATGGCTGTGCAAATAAAACTAAAAAGCTAAAAGGATCTTCCCTGGATTTTCATTGAATTTAAAGAATCGACAACACTATGAAAGGATCGTGAAACATTTCAGGAAGCAGACTCATGTGGAAACAAGGAATCAAGCTCACAGTAAGTTATTTCTTCTTTAATTCTTTATGAAACTGCATCACCAGTATGATCCTTCTGTAATCTTAAGAATACTACATCTCACTTTTATATTTTCTTCTTTAAATACGAATAGTGGAACTGCTGAAAAATCTGATTTTAATTAATTGCTTCTCAGACTTTTTCTCACTTTTTCTCCTTAATAACCGTTTTTTTCAATTAATTTTTTGCAGTCCAGCCAATTTCAAGCTACTTTTCGATGCAGAAATTTTCACATCGACTGGCTGGTCATTAAGCAAGACGAAACACCAGCTTCAAGCTACTTTTCGATGCAGAAATTTTCACATCGACTAGCTGGTCATTAAGCAAGACGAAACACCAGCTTCAAGTTCTGCACCACCAAGTCTACAAGGAATCGTTTTTCAACTTAGCATTTACGCCAACAAAAAGTAAGTCAACTTGAGATTTTAACTTGAAAAATTTTTTTATTCCATTTCTAGGATTTATACATGTATAAAATTAGGAATTGCCCCACCGTCCTGCCCAAAATTTTTTTTTGGCACCTAGAAAACTTACATTTTAGTGAAAAATGCAGCCAAAATGTTTCTGATCTTAATTGGGTGACAAAAGCAACATGAGTCAAAAAAATGGAACCATAATGATGAGTTCGTGAAAAAGAGGCTGCAAATAAACCAATTTCATGACTTGAACAAAATATGCAGCTGGAAGTAAGCTATAGATTGAGTCTTATTTGTCCAAATTTTAACAAAGATCCATCACATAGAAATTTAACACGTAACCACAAGCTTGGAAGTTATTGATAAGGGAATTCTCAGACTGTCTCAGTCATCAAGCATTAAACAAGATGAAACACCAGCTTCAAGTTTTGCATCGCCAAGTCTTCAAAGAATCGTTTTTAAACTGATCATTTACGATAACAAAAAGTAAGTCAACTTGAGATTTTAACTTGAATAATTTTTTTTCCATTTCTAGGATTTATACATGTATAAAATTAGGAATTGCCTCACCGTCCTGCCCAAAATTTTTTTCAGCACCTAGAATACTTATATTTTAGTGAAAAATGCAGCCAAAATGTTTCTGATCTTAATTGGGTGACAAAAGCAACATGAGTCAAAAAGATGGAGCCATAATGATGAGTTCATGATAAAGAGGCTGCATATAAACCAATTTCATGACTTGAACAAAATAAGCAGCTGGAAATAAGCTATAGATTGAGTCTTATTTGCCCAAATTTTAACAAAGATCCATCACAAATCATGCTTGCTAGTTTAAAACTTGGCATCAATTTTGGTTCTGTTGTTTGCCTTATTATGAATTATGTAATTGCAGATGCTCAGTTAGAGGAATCAAATAGCAATGCACTAGACAATGGAAATAATGAATTTTGTCTACGACTAGGTTACTCGTTGGTGATTTAATTGTCTTACTAGCAATATTAATTTTATACAAATCTTAAATTCAATTTTTATTCCACAGGAATGCAGCTCTAGTTAACAAGAGCCTAAGGTTTTTCTTTGCATTGGAATTTTGATATCATTGCGATAAAATTGTAACATCCGCGGGATGCATTAAAGTTAAATATTCAGACTCATCTTTCGAGCCTTAAGATTTATTTGTCTTCCTTGGATTTTAAAACTTATCAAGATGTTTTCTTTTGGAGCTTCAAAAGTCATAGAACAAAGTGAGTAAATGTTTTAAGACATAAATAACAAAGAATCCACAACAAATCATGTTTAATTCTAAAAACTCAACTTAAAATTCAGAATATCTTCTTAAAGCTGATAAATAAGATTGAGCACATAACTAAATTAAGCCAGTTTTATCTTTAAATTAATTTATGAACATGCAACAATCGATTCATGTTGAATTTTCTATTCAGACTTATCAATGGATTCTCTGGTTTTCAACGAGGTTTGAGGTTTTTGAAAAAGTCTCGACACGAAATTTGTTTAGAAAATTGTTGACATTTTTTTTTGACAGAAAGTTTGTTTAGCAGCAACTTGACATGTTTAATACATCAAAAATGTTTATTTGCTTCTTTATGTTAAGATGTTTAGATGCTAAAAATAGTTAAACATTGGAAATTTGAAAAAGAACAAAGATTTATTTTTTATCGAAACTTTGTAGTGATCACAAAAAGTTTAATTATGATTTTATTTATTTTTAATGTTAAGAACTAGCGAGAAAAATTGAGGCTCATTGTAATTCGATTTCAGTTGTTCCAAAGCGTAACACTTTTGATGATTTTTCGATGAAAAGTTTACTTGCAAAATCGACTCTTAGCTCAACAAAATATCCATTTAAAATGGCTTCATGCTTACAAAGATCAATTTTCCATTTTGATGTATCTAACTTTGGCACTTCTTCACAGTACGCTTTATTAAGAGTAGCCAAAACATAATGTTCTGGATGAATTGGTGGTCTTTCCGGATCGTATTGAACTATTGTGGTAAAGTAAAACAATACATCTGCTTCATCACTCATATCGGTTATAAAATCGTTAAGATCTTTCATTCGAATAAAATTTTGCCTGTAATATAAATTAAAATCAAACATTTTTTTGTTATATAAATTGCTCAATTTAAAACAAATTCAAATTTTTATAGTTTTGCGAATATCAGATCATTATGAGAATCATGTATTGATCGGTATAACTTGAAGTTCACATTTTTGAGGACGCAATTAATTGTCACAATCTTGGAGAGGTGTGATATCATAATATTAATGATTCGAATGCTATTTATCGCTTTATTCGTTTGAAAACTTATCAATTTTATTAAACTGAATTGAAACGATATTTAGCACATTCTAAAGCATTACAGACAATTTTTAAATGTAAAAAACTGTCTGGTTTAAAATTTTGAAAGAGAAAAATTAATAAGAATCTAATTGGATTAATTCAAAAATAAGCTAAAACTAATTATACAACAAAAAAATTTTGTATTCATTAAATTTCAGATCTTTAACTATTAAATCTATTGCTTTATTCTAATGATTTTTTTTTGATTCTAAAATAAGCTTTAATTTCCAAATTAAAAAAATCGAATACAAACTTCACTGATACGGACAATTCAAGAGTTTCAACCGTTACAGTTTCCAAGAACACTTGCAAAAATGTCTTATTTGTCTGTCTGCGATGCAAAATTCGAAGTTTCATACCCTGCAGTTCCAAATTTTCGAAAATTAGGAAAAAATAAAAACTTAAATTAAGCAATTTTTTCATGAATTTTTGATGAAAATATTATTTTATCATTTGATAATAAGCATAATACAGCTAAATCTGTTTTCAAAACTATCAAAAACTTAAATAAAATAACAAAAAATTGTAACGGTTTTTCAAATTTAAATTTTTCGAACGTGCATATTAAAACACCCCTAGACTTTCGATAAGTCTGTCGAACATGAATTGAACGTATCAGAAACTTCATTATATATTGTTCAACCTATTGAATCATCATCTCATTGGAAAAATTGTAAAGTACTTGATAACACATATCAATCCTACTAGTTGTTATAGATTTTTTTATTTGATAGTCATATCAACCTGTAAAATTTTTATAAGGGTTTACTTGATATCACGTATCGACCTGTATATTTCCACGACAATCAGTTTAACTTCAACTTTCTTAATTTAAAGTCGCAATTGCAACAGTTGAATCATAGCAAAACTGAGGATAACAAAAAGGATGAAAAGTATCGGACAATATTTTTATTTCAAGAAACTTCATTAGATTGAGGAATTTGAGTTTAAGAGGTTCTTACTTTGAAATTCGCAGTAAATTCAAATTAAAGTTTTAAATTTTGAAACTATCAAATAGAATCAAGTTTCTTAGAATCGAATGAGTCAAGTAACTTGATTTTGTGCCTTTTGCATGTAGAATATTGAGCATAAAGAATGAAAATTAGCAAAAATCTTTTTGTTATTCTTTGGTCTTGTCCATTGATTAGAAAACTTTAATTAAAAATTGATCATCAATTAAGTGAATTTCAATATATTCTACTTTTCCAGTAAATTAATCGTATTTCCACAAAAATTGCGTAATGAAATAATTTTAACTTGTGTGTACATTAAAGTGATATATAAATACTAAAGAGTCATTTTAAAAACGACGTTCTTTTATCAAGGAAGATATTTTGAATACATCTATCAAAAAATATCACCCATATCCTCATCTGTACCACAAGGTTTTTGCTTAATTGGAATTGACTTTTCATAAAGCTTTAGTTCTTCATTGTTAAAAAATGAATCATTTTTAATTGATGACGTTGCTATTTTTTTAACCACACTTATTAAAGAAAAAAAGGAATGATCTAGAATATTCAACTTCAGAAAAAATATAGGCTGTTATAAATACTCAGTAGCTTAGTACATATTCAGATTAGCTGAGTCATAAACACTCGGAAAGCTAAGAAAATAATTTCTTTGAAAGATCCAGCAATTAAGGGAAAGAAAAACCTAATGGATGATTAACTTTCCAAGAATTTCAATTGTTCTCGACTTAAGTAACTTAATTCAAATGAGTAAAAGTCAAAATTACCTCGTTTTTTAATTTTTCAGGAAATTGAACTCCTTAATCTTCAATCCGCAAATAAAGACTTCTTTGATGAATTATTTGAGAATTAGAATTAAATAAACTAATTATTCCTGAATTAAAGGATTTTCTCTGTCAATTTTAGTTTTTTTGTCTGACCATATAACTTAAAATGGTGGAATAAAATACTAGCTGAATAACGGGGTACAAAGCTAAGCTATGCAAAGTAAGAAGTTCAAAATATATTTGGAACCAGGGTTGTCATCTATCAATTTCGTATCAAAAGCAAAAATCTATTCAAAGCATCAAAAGGAATCTATGTCGTGGCTTGCCTAGCCAAAGGCAATGCCTAGAAATAGGTAACATTTTGTGCTGTTGAGTAGGCAAAACCAAGATTAGACTCATTTATTTGCTTATTTTTGTTTGAAAAATATCACAAAAAAGCACCAACTTGATTCTAATATACATTTTGCTTAGGTAGGGACATGCCTAAGATATGTCTATCATCCTAGCTCCTCATGTGATCTTTTTGTGTGGTTTTTGGCTTATAATATGTGTGCTGTGTATGGCTTGCACTTTAAAACAGAAAAGTTAAAATTAAATCTCCTTTACTTCATCTAAATACTGAGGATGATCAAAACAAGACCAGCGATGACTGGATAATAATGAAGTTCCAATTAAACCCTTAACGAACGAGCTTTTATGTTTAATGTATATCCTTTTATTGAGTAAATAATAAAAATTGAATAAAATTTTTGAAACCAATTTTCTCTGAGACTTTAAATTTATAACTCTATATTCTTTTTTTTAGCTTTTTTGCCGTTCCATCAGATTCAGCATTGCAGAAGATTTGATTTTAAATTAGTCATGTTCTATAGAATATTTGTTGATTATTCTTGAAGATCTCATTGAATTATTTTTGAATGAAAATGGCAATCTTCAGCTGAGTGCTTTTAGCTCTATCAACCTTTTAACAACCTTCTTTAAGCTAAAAATGGATTTCATAATTTTCAACGTGTGACAAATTTTTTTGCTGAACAAAGTTCTGCTATCTTAAATGACACACATGAAATCAGCTTGAGATAGGTAAATTTTGTCATCAACAAAAAAATCGAAGCAACATTTGAAAAAATTTCTTTCTTTTGAATTCATCAATTTCAAAACATCGAAAAAAAAAATAATGAACACATGGAAATCTTTTGAGTGATTGGAAGAAGGCACGAAATACATCATGACTCGCTGAAGACAAAGGAATTAAATATGAGTGAGAATTTAAATGGCATTAAGAAGATATGAAAAAATCTCAAACAAGCATGAAACTACAAAGACATCAAACAAAATCCGACGATATAGTCATATGGACACAATGCTTAATATGGATGTCCCTTTCAATTAAGAACTAGAAACATTCGAAAATTATGATGATAAAGGAAGTGCCTGTGCGGATAGCTTTGATATCCAAAACGTGTGAAAATCAATGAGTTATAAATAAAATCAGCATTTCCTTGATGAAGTCATGAGACAACGGACGATCATTTTAAAATAACAGAAGCTGTTGAAGTTGAACGTGATTGATTATTTACTACATCGTCACTTTACATGCTTAATCGCTGGAAACAGATGAAATTAGTGTTCAACAATTATTGTGGATATTTTAATGTACTGAATATGTTCTTGCATCAAGTACACTACCAAATTTCAGTCAACGAAGTTTATGCCGTCTTTAAAATTACGCGTGAAATTTATGGAAAAGCTGCTCAACTCGACATTCTTCTCTGTCATCTTACAAGAAAGACTTCGAATCACGCATGGTAGAATCAAATGCCATTCGTCCACTAATTCAATCAGTGCTTTTACAACATAGCTTTGGAAATGAACCTGCTGAT